CTGCTTTGGGTCTGTCTTTGTGTTTCCAGAGGCTGGCACACAGCAGGTGCTTCATTCAAATTTGGTGGATCAGATTGAACTGGGGACCAGGGCACATGCCAGAAAATGAGCCAACTTTCCAGGCCATCAAGAGAGCATTCGGAACTGGTGATGTTAAGGCATAAATTTAAATTCCTTAGGGTTGGGTAGGAGTGGCTTTTAGCTCAGTAAATATTAACCACCCTTGAACATCTGTCATTTTATTAACCATCGGAATGCAGGCTCAGTTTCGGGTCTTGGAGATAGATGCTCAAGGCCAGGTTATACAAGAAGCCCAGCCTTAGTGGTTAACAAGATCATAAAACATCCCATGGCTTGTGGTGTGGCCTTGGACAATCACTGACTTCTGAAAAGTAGGATGGTCCCGTCTGGCATCCTTGTTGCCCTCAAGACAGACTAATGGCCCAGTGCTGAGTCCCTTGATAATTTTAAGGGCGGCTGAAATAGAAAATGTCGATAAGATTAGCATTAGCTCCTGGAAATACTACTTATGGAATAATACTTACTTTGCTTAATTTTGTCAAACCATTGGGAACCATCAGGACCACAGAGCACATGGGACATCACACAGCTCTGATTCTCAGCTCTAGGAGGGCAGAAAAGTGCTTCATCAGCTTGCTTAGGGAATCAATCCATAAGCAAGCTCGGAGTAGGTGGGTTGGGCCAGAGGCTGAAAAGCTTTCTAAGCCAAGCAGATGAGTAGACAGTCAATCCTGGGGGCAACAGGGAGCCAGTGAAGTTGTCTAAATAAAGACTGGGTCAGATCTTCCCTCTTTCTGTTAGGGACAACAGCTCTTCCTTCTCATTCACTCGTGTGGCCAATCCACTGACGAATCTTCCCTTCCCATCAGTCCCCTCTTCTCTCTTCATTCAGGCCTCCACACCTTTCACCAGTAAACATCTAATCAACTTCTTTGCCTCCACTCCAATCCATCTGCCACTAAGCTACCATGGTGACTTTCCCAAAGCTCATCCTCTCAATTCAAAAAGGTCTAGCAAGGGGCAGCTAGGTTGCACAATGGATAGAGCATGGGCCCTGAAGTCAGGAGGACCTGAGTTCAAATCTGGCCTCAGACCAAACACTTGACACTTACTAGCTGTGTGACCTTGGGCAAGTCACTTAACACTGATTGCTGAAAAAGAAAAAAAAAGAAAGAAAAAGAAAAAAAAACATCTAGCAGAAGTGGGGAACCCAAGGTCTTGAGGCCACATGTGACCCTTTCAGTCCTCAATCCAGTCACCTCCTGCTAGCTCCAGGCACCACCATATTGTCCCTTCAGAAGAGAGATGCTGATGGTGTCCATGCAGGGATGCTGAAATTTGATCAATAGACACTCTTCACTTAGTCTTTCTGAGTGGGTCAGCTGATGTTGTACTCTAATGAGTCAAATGCTGTTTCATAAGCGAGGAAGGGTAAGTCCAATGAGCTCTCACATTCTCCACATCTCTCAGACAGTTGTGGTCCGTTGTTGATGATCATCGAGGTAGACCTGCTCGCTCCCTCCTAACGTTCTGTGCCAGACACGGTGTGCTGGGGATCCCAGGAAAGGCAGAAGACAATCCCTGCCCGCAGGGAGCTTCCAGCAAACCATGGTGTCAAAGAAGGTGTAGACTAGCCTCGATGGGAAAAAAAATCATTCATTGCCTCAGTGTGGGAAAATCTTTTTCCATTTTTTTTTCTACCTGCATGTTTTGCATAGAGCTATGTGTGTCCGTTCTGTGTCCAGCATCCCACCCTAGAAAGATTAGAATCCATCGGCAGTCGTGTGGCCCAATGGATAGAATGCAGGACGTGGCATCCAAAAGCCCTGAATTCAGATCCTACATTAGGCAGCTGCCAGCTGTGACCCTAGGCAAGTTATATAATCTCTCCCAGACTCAGTTTCCTCATCTGTAAAATGGAAGTAATAAGAGCACCTACCTCCCAGGGTTGCCATGGAGATCAAATTAAAAAAAAACCACATGCAGAGTGCTTGGCAAACCTCTAAGAGCTTCATAGGGGCTGACTGTTGTTCTTGGGATAATTCTTCATCATCATCATCATTATTATAAAACAGCCTCGAGTAACTGTGCAGAGCCAGTGACACCCTGCTCCTCTCGGAGAAACAGGAAGGAAAGAGGAAGGGGAAGGGAGACAAAGGGAAGTGACTCTGTCCAGGCAGCCCGAGGAGGTTTCAGGAGTCCTCAGAGGAGCCCTGTGGGGATGGATCACCTCCAGCCCCAAGCCAGACCCCCACCATGGCCCGGGCAGGGCCAGCTGCAGCTCTGGAGGAGGGAAATGCCTGGGGAGCCATGCTGCAGCAGCTTGCTGTGTCTCCAAGCAGTGTTTCAAAACTCCAACTGCTGTTAAATCGTCAGCAAGAGAAAACCTGTTTTGGAAATTTTATTGGATTTCAAAATCCACGGCAGTAAAGAGGAAAGAGTCCTGGGAAGAGGATGCAAGGCCATGCATGGGCTCTGGTCTCAGCCCTGCCACTAACTCATTGTGTGACTATGGTTGAGTCATTTGACTTTCCCTGGGCCTCAGTTTTCTCTTCTGTAAAATTAGACTAGACCGTATTGAAGGTCCCTCCCAGCTCTGACATTCAATATTCTATGTTCTAACATTCCTTCCAACTGTGACGTTCTAGGTTCTGTGCTTCCTTACCACGTTACGACTTATAAAAATGGTTAGGAAAAACCCATCTCTCTCTGCTGCTACCAGAGATCATACAATTTGCATAATCACTAGCTATAGAAAATGTCAGGTTTCTTGGATTCTCTTTTCTGGTTTCTGTTCTCCCCCCACCTCCCCAGTGACTCATCCCAGCTAGCTCTGCTACCCTCCGTCATCCCTAACTGTGTCTGAAGAATGAAGTCAAAACTTCACCATCCTCAATTGGAAATTGAGAGGATGCCCATCCATTGGGGAATGGCTGAGCAAGTTGTGGTATACGAATGCAATGGAATACTATTGTGCTATAAGAAATGATGAGCAGGCAGACTTCAGAAAAACCTGTAAAGACTTATATGGTCTGATGCTGAGTGAAGTGAGCAGAACCAAGAGGACTTTGTACACAATAGCAGCCACGTTATACAAAGACTAAGAATGTTAAACTGAACCCTTCTCAGCATTACAAGGATCTAAGCCATCTCCAGAGGCCTAGGGATGAAAAATGCTGCCCACATCCAAAGAAAGAACTATGGAGGTCGAATCACTCGCACTTATTTTTACCTTCTGTTGAGTTTTGTTTCATCTTTCTGATGGTTCCTCCTATTGGTTTTAATTTTTACTTACAACTTCACTAACGTGAAAATATGTTTAATGGGTATGTAAATATAAAGCCTACGTCAGATTGTGTGCAGTCTTGGGGAGGGTAGGGGGGAGAAAAAGGGAGAAAAATTTTCAACTCAAAAGCATATGGAAAAAAATTTAAAAAATAAAAATTAATAAGAAAAAAAAACTTCCCCATCCTCTCACGAAATGGGCATCTGTCCTTCTTGGCCTGAGCCCCTGCACACCCCCATCAACCCTGCGTCTCCCCAGGCAGCTCTGAGGAAAACAGGAACATCACAGGATTAGAAGAGCCCCTGGGATCTCTTTTGATCCAGCCCCTTCCTTTCAGAGCTAAGGTCCTCAGAGGGAGCTGAGACCAGGGAGTCACTCAAGGTCACACCGGTGGGATGTAGCAGAGTGGAGTGGGTAGAACACTGGGCCTGGGGTCAGGACAACCAGAGTTCAAATCCTGCTTCAAACACTTATGAGCCATGTGACCCTGGACAAGTCTCTCTGCCTCAGTTTCCTCACCTGTAAAATGGGGATGATATCTGCTTCACAGGGGGGTTGTGAAGATCAAATGAGATAAGATACAAAGTAATTTACAAACTTTAGAAGGATAGCCGTCATTACTGATATTATTATGAGTCCTAGTAATGATACCAATACTAACAGACCCAGTATCTCTAGCTCCAAATCTCAGATTTTTTCATCCACACCTGCCGCCTCAGGAATGACAGATTTCCTGAACTCAGCAGCAGCCACTCTTGGTGGCATTCTTTTTTTTTTATTAATTTATTTTGATTTATCAACAATCACTTCCATATGCTTTTGAGTTTTAAATTTTTCTCCCCCTTCCTACCCACTTCCTTTCCCAAGACAGCACACAATCTGATATAGCTGATATAGGCTCCACATATACATTCCTATAAAACATATTTCTACATTAGTGATGTTGTAAGGAAGAATCAGAACCAATAGGAGGAACCATCAGAAACAGGAAACAAAACACAACAGAAGAAAAAAATAGCAAATAGTATGCTTTGATCTGCATTCAGACTTCATAGTTCTTTCTTTGGATGTGAATAGCATTTTCCATCATGAGTCTTTTGGAGATATCTTAGATCATTGCATTGCTGAGAAGAATCAAGTCTATCAAAGTCAGTCATCTCACAATATTGCTGTTACTGTGTAAAATATTCTCCTGTTTCTTCTCACTTCACTCAGCATCAGTTCATGTAAATATTTGCAGGTTTTTTCTGAAATCTGCCTGCTCATCATTTCTTATAGCACAATAGTGTTCCATTACATTCATATACAACAATTTGTTCAGCCATTCCCCAACTGATGGGCATCCCCTTAATTTCCAATTCTTTGCAACCACAAAAAGAGTTGCTATAAATATTTTTGTACATGCAGGTCCTTTTCCCATTTGTAGGATCTCTTTGGGATACAGTGGCATTCTTTTTAAAGTAGGGATCATGCACCCAATGTAGGGACGTTGATAATAAAGGACCTTTTGGTCCTAACTTGCTCCTTTGCGGGGCTTGACACTTCTACTTTGTACAGCTCAGTACATGCATCTGTGACTATGGCTTGTGTTGCTGGTCACTTTCTCAGATTTTGTCTCCTGCAAACTTCTGGGTGTCTGACTCACTCTTCTTCTTCCTACATAGTGTAACTACTCACAACGACACCATTTGGTGAGTGTAGGGTGGCAGTTTTCTCCCTTCATTATCTTTTGGGAGATAAGACTCTTTTAATTAAGTTTTCATAACTCCAGACAAACACTCATGCCCTGGGTCACCCCAAGTCTGTCATTCAGAGATTTTAAGTCATGATCCAGAAATCCAAATTCCGTTCTCTGACACCATCTTCTTTTTTGTTCATTCTAGAAATTTAATTGCAGCTGTGTAATTTTTAACTCTTGCATTTTCTCAATAGTTTCTTCCTTATATTTGCTCTTTTCCTTTCCTACTTGGGGAGATTTGGCTTTTCGCTCAAGGATCTTCTTGTGATCTTTGTCCAGTTTTAGCCTTGTGATAAGCACCTTGCTGGGATGAATGTCCACATGGACAGTTGTACCATTAGCCTTCTCCCGCTGCACACGCTCAATATAGATCACATATTTCTTTCTGTAAACCTGGACTACCTTGCCAATTTTCTGTCCTTTGTAGTGTCCTTGGACAACCTGGACTTCATCATCTTTGCGAATGGGAATGGAGAGGACGTTGTACTTCTGTCTCACCTCCTTAGAAAGAGGAGAAGACATAATTGTCCTCCGTATGTGGGAAGGGGCATTGAAATGCCTCTTGCGGTTCTTGCTTCGGGCAGAGGTTACAAAGGGATTGAACTTCATTTTGACCTCAGAGCCACAGTGAAACAGAAGAGACTCTCCGACACTATCTTCTTAACCACCTGCTCAGTTCCCAAATTTGCTTTTCTCTCTCAAATCCTCACCTTCAGTGGGGAATGGGATGAAGATGCCACCTGTGCCCCGACAGCTTTCAGTTTTGTGTCCAAGACTTTGTCATCATAGCCCATGCTTTCAGGTTCCTTCTGTCAGTACCCACACAAATCACCCAAAAGGTGAAGCAGTCACCTGGTTTGGGGGGTCTTGGAAAGTTATATCTTGGATGCATGCCCCAGGAAGACAACAGATGTCTCTGCTGTTGTGGTCAGGACCCTTCAGTGGAGAGCCAGGAACCACTCGGACTCTTCTCTCTTCCTCTGGCCCTCCAGGGACTCTCTCTTACCTCATCACCCTGTGGATACTCAGCGTCCTTGCCTGGAAGACAAGAAACATGATACAGACACAAAATAAGCATGGAATTAGCTCAAATGTGATGGGGCCAAAGAAGAGACCCCTACTGGAGGTTCCTGGAGAGAGAGAGACTGCTTTCAGCTGGCTGGGTCACTGAGTAGATGGCATCTGACTTTTGCCTTGGGGAAGAGGATTTCAGCAGATGAGGATGAAGAAGAATTCATCAGGCAGTGTGGAGACTCGAAACCTGAGCTGCCCATTCCCATTCCACTCCTGCAGTATTACATCGTAAAGACACCGATACACCAGGCCCTTCCAAGGGCTCTGACATTCCCCTAGTTGGAGCATCTCTAGTGGGAATCAACTCTCTCTCCTTATTATCTCCAGTTTGCCTCTTTCGAGGCCATTGGGTGTCTTCTCCTTCCCCTACATTGTCCCATCTGGCTTATGGTCTGGTTTTACATTTGTGGGAGGGTATGGTACAGGGGGGAAGGGGGGTTGAGTGGTACATGGCAATCTATGTCTTTCAAACCTAAGATCTCCAACAAGTCAGGGTCAGCTAGGCTTCTCAGAAGGATGGTCTTTGTGATGAAAAGAAAGGGAAGATCACCCTGCCTCTAGGAGTACCTTAAAGGGAAGAGGAAGAACAGCATCATTGTACAGTGGCAATGGATGTTGGCTCTGGGCCAGGAGATCTGGGCTCATCTCCCACCTCTGACACCACTCGACTGACCCTGGGAAAGTCACTTGACTTCTCTGACTAGGTCTGTGTTTCCTCTACTGCCAAATGAATGGATTGCATTGGATGGCCTTGGGAAATTCCTGACTTTGGTAGGTGTGAGCAAGCTATGACATGGGACCGTAAAGAGCTCTGAATTAAAATGGGAGTAAAAGTTGTCATCAAGAAATAACATGATGGGGGCAATTAGGTGGTGCAGTGAATAGAGCACCGGCCTTGGATTCAGGAAGACTTGAGTTCAAGTTTGGCCACAGACACATAACATTTACTAGCTGTGTGATCCTGGGCAAGTCACTTAACCCCATTGCCTAGCCAAAAAAAAAAAAAGAAATAAAAAAGAAATAACATGATGAGAAGAAGAAATACTAAGGTCAAAGGATGTCAGGTGGAGAATCTGAGTGTTCCATTTGTGTCCTCAAAATGTCAGGAGAACTCAAGGAAGGCTTCCAGCACATTGAGTGGACCCCTTGTGGCAAATTCATAGGAGATGTAGATTGCACAGGTTGGTTATGCACAGATGGACTGTGGTCTGCACCACTGAAGGGAATGCCCTAATCAGTGAGATGGTGGTGATGATGATGATGGTGATGGTGATGGTGATGATGGTGATGATGATGATGATGGTGATGGTGATTATGATGATGATGGTGATGATGATGATGATGGTGATGATGGTGATGATGATGATGATGGTGATGATGGTGATGATGATGATGATGATGATAGATTATATCACCTACTATGTGCCAGGTACTGTGCTAAACACTTTACAATTATTATCTCATTTGATCCTTATGACAACCACGGAAAGCAGATGCTATTATGTTTTTATTAATCCCATTTTATAGATGAGGAAACGGAGGCAAACAGAGGTTAAGTGACTTGCCCAATGTCACATAGCTAGTAAGCACATGAGGCTGGATTTGAATTCAGGTCCTCTTGAGTCCAGGCCTCGTACTCTATCTACCTCATCACTAGCTGCACAGATCTATTGAAGTTTTCAGTATTTGAGCATGTCCCAAAGGAAGGACCATGGAATGTGTTAATGACTATGGCCTGTGACCTTAGAGCATAGAAAATGGGAAGCCAGCATTCAGTGGGACCTTGGAAGTCATCTAGTCTAACTCACGTGGTATGAGACTCATAACACCAATGCCTAATCTATAACTTCTTAAAATTCAACAAGTATTTTCCCCACAACAGTTAACTATCCCCATTTTACAATTAAAGAAACTGAGGCTCCAAGAAGTGGCTGCCGGGATCTGTCCACAAACAAGGAAGAAAATACACATTTGTAGGGTTAAAGATAAACTTCCTTCAGGTGAATCTGTGCCCCGCTAGACGAGGGCAGGACTGGCTAATCACTTGTTTGTTTAAGGAAGATCTCCCAGAGTCACAAGGTATTCAGAGGAAGCCGGGAGGACTTCGGAGATCACCAATCCAGCCTCCTGGTCCCCGCAGTGGCCTTCAAACATTGGTAATTAATAATCACCTTTGCTATCTCTACACATGATTAGCCCTGGCGAATGCAAGGTGAAATAGAAACACAGTTGGACAATCCGCTCGGTGTTCTTCCTTTGCAGGGGGACGGGCCCAAAGCATTTGTCTTTTTATTTATTCAAAATACATAACTATAAATATTGGAAAATTCCTAATTCTTCAAAGGATTTTATAGGCCTGTGTTCTACAATTTGAGGGCTCAGTTTCTGAATCTGTAAAATGAAAGGGGTGCACCAGTTCTAACATCCTCTGTTCTGTGTTCTAAGGCCCCTCCAAGCTCTGACATTCTCTGTTCTACATTCTCAGATCCCTACCACCATAACATTCTATGTTCCAGGTTCTAAGGTCCCTCCCAGCTCTGACATCCTCTCTTCTAAATAGAGATAATAAAGTACTCACAGGTTTTCAGGATACAAATACAAGAATAAGAGAGAGTCCCTGTCCTCTCTAAGGAGGGAAGATGAGGATGACAAGAAAGCTCACTCATCCTTAATACCTTATCTTTCTGCCTCATGTCATGGAAGGAGGCTGGGGTTTGACTTCTCTGGGTCACTAGCCATGCAGGGGTGGGGAACCTGGTGCCTCGAGGCCACATGGGGCCTTCTAGGTGCTTGGGTGTGGCCCTTTGACTCAGTCCAAGTTTTACAAAACAAATACTTTAAGGAAGGGGATTTGTTCTGTGAAGTTTGGATTCAAAGGGCTGCACTTGAGGACCTAGAGGGCCACACGCAGCCTCCAGGACACAGGTTCCCCACCCCTGAATTCATTAAGTACCTACTCTGTGCCAAGCACTTTGCTAAGTGCCAGGTATTCAAAGAAAGCAAACCAGACTTTCCTGTCAAGGACCTCGAGGATGAATGGGGAAGACAATATGAAACAATTCCACCCAAGGACAGACAGGAGTGACTGGACTGAGCCCCCACCTGCCTGCTTCCTGCCTTTCTTCCCTTGGATAAATCCTTTTGCCTTTAGGGGCCTCAGCTTTTCTTCCAAAAAATGAGCCCTCGCTCCCATTCATCTCTAACTTCCATCTCTTCATTCTACAACCCGTCCATTGGACAATCCCAGTCACACTGCCATTCAATACTAAGAGAAAACACTTTTCAATATGTTTGTATTTTGTGGGAATGGTCCTGCTGGAAGCTTCCCTTTCACAGAAGGAGCCCAAGGTTAGAAAGGTTGCTTGCAAGCCCCTGAGCATCCTTCTAGGTGCGGTCCATTGATGGTCAGTCCAGACACGTTTCTTGTCTGGGAGGTTACAGACGAGGTAAAGGCTGCATGACGCTGGCACTTCTAGGGGCTGGGAATCTTCTGGGGCCATGTGGGGTAGAGAGTGGAGGGGCCCAGGATGCCTCATTATCATCTGAGCACCTTTCCTCCTCCACCTTGCCTGACAAAACCCAGCTCATCCTTCAAAGCCCAGCTGGAGCATCCTTTGCTCCAAATGACTCCCCTTGGTGTCCCCGAATGGAGGCCCTCTCAACTGAACTGCCCATGGCCTGTGTGCCTCCCCCATAAATGCCTTATTGGGTGCTGCTGAGCACAGCATCCTCCGCCAGGGACAGAGGTACTCAGAGGAATAGGACCTGCTTACGGCAGCCCAAGATCTTCCAGTGAATTCAACTGACTCTGATTTCTAGAGCATTTTAAGGTTTAGTCATTATCTCTGGATAAGTCAGAGACTAATTCCCTCCATCCCTGCATCCCTGGGTCCCAGTAGCTGCAGCCAGAAATTCAGGCTCGGCAAGCCCACGAGAAGAGTGAAGCCGGCAGGAGGGCGTGCAGACCACCAAGTCAGCGCTGTGTACAGCTGGAGAGATCAGAGAAAATCCGTCTGGCCTTTGTTCTTGCCAACAGAGGGGAGAGGTGGGTGATGGATTAGGTGAGTGTCTGACACCCAAGCAGCTTCCCTTTCCCTGGCATTAGGATATAAACAATTTACACTTCCTCCATTTCCCCCCACCTCCTCACCCTGTTGGGAGCAATCTGGTCCCAGCTTTCTCACGCTCCCATCCGACAGAGACGCATGGGGACCCCTCTTTACACTGACCCCCCGTCAAGGCCAACCTGGAAGGATACTGGATGCTGTCCAACATGATGAAGTTACCAGGATTAAAGAGGGGAGGAATCTTGGTGGTCATTTGCAAAAGTAAAGTAAAATTACACGCAGTTAGACTGAGTACAATTGTACCGAGTATATGGAGATCAGTGTCAAGATGCCTACCCTCAAGGCACCTACAGATGAGGACCCAACCAGGCTACAGCTGATGGCTGGACATGGTCTGTAGGACCCAGGTTCAGATCCCATCTCAGGCACTTACTAGCTGTGTGACCTTGGACGAGTCACTTCATTTCTCTTGACCTCCGTT